TGTGAGCCACCATGCCTGGCCTGTTTTCTCCATTTTTCTGCATTGTCTAATTTTTCTCCATTGAAAATATATTGCATTTTATAATCTAAAAATTACTTTTGGAAGAGGCAAAGAAACTAACTTAAAAGATGCTGTGAGCGATTTTACTTTAAAAATTGCATTATTAGTTGGGGGAAAAATTAGAATATATTAGGTAATTGATTCTGATGCATATGACCTTCTTGATCCAGAGTTTCTTTTTTTTTCTTTTTTGAGATGGAGTTGCTCTGTTGCTAGGCTGGAGTGCAGTGGTGTGAGCTCACTGCAACCTCTGCTTCCCAGGTTCAAGCGATTCTCCTGCCTCAGCCTCCCGAGTAGCTGGGACTACAGGTAGGTGCCACCATACCCGGCTAATTTTGTTGTATTTTAGTAGAGATAGGGTTTCACCGTGTTGGCCAGGCTGGTCTTGAACTTCGGACCTCAGGTGATCTGTCTACCTCAGCCTCCCAAAATGCTGGAATTATAAGAAACTCTGTCAAAAAAAAGAAGTACTGGGATTACAGGCATACCCCGTCACTACTAAAAATACAAAATTAGCTGGGCACGGTGGCTCACGCCTGTAATCCCAGCTCTTTGGGAGGCTGAGGCAAGTGTATTATGAGGTCAGGAGATCAAGACCATCCTGGCTAACATGGTGAAACCCTATCTCTACTACAAATACAAAACATTAGCCAGGTGTGGTGACATGCACCTTCAATCCCAGCTACTCAGGAAGCTGAGGCAGAAGAATCGCTTGAACCCGGGAGGCAGAGGTTGCAGTGAGCCGAGATCATGCCTTTGCACTCCAGCCCGGTGACAGAGCACCCATCTCAAAACAAAGAAAAAAAATGTTTTGTTGCTAACTTTCATCCAGAGACCTGTTGAAGTCAGAGGCCAAAGAATTAGGGAGAATAGGCCAGGCCTGGTGGCTCACACCTGTAATCCCAGTACTTTGGGAGGCTGAGGTGGGTGGATCACCTGAGATCAGAAGGTGGAGACCAGACTTGCTAACATGGTGAAACCCAGTCTCTACTAAAAATATAAAATTAGCTGGGCATGGTGGCGCATGCCTGTAGTCCCATATACCCGGGAGGCTGAGGCAGGAGAATCACTGAAACCCAGGTGGTGGAGGTTGCGGTGAGCCAAAATCTCGCCACTGTACCCTAGGCTGGGCAACAGAGCAAGACTCCGTTAAAAAAAAAAAAGAAGAAGAATTAGGGAGAATGCCAGGAAAGGTAAAAAAACGTTCCGCTTTTCATTGATTAATGATACTTTCAATCTGCAAAACACTGCCTAAGGCTCTTGTTTTACTGCATCATAAGAAAGTTTAGGTTGGAAAGTAATCAGTGTAAGATAGAGAATAATAATTTGAAAACTGCCAAGCTTCCTTTAATTTCATCTTTCCAAGCTGAAAAGTTGTAGGAGCTCATGGAAAGGATCAAAAAGGATCCATGTAGGTGTGTTTAACTTCTGGAGGACAAAAGGGATCCCTTTATGTTTGGGAAGCTAAGTAGTTACAGGAAAATGTAAAAACTTTTTTTGATGTAGTGATTTTAAACTACATAATTCTTTACCATAAATGGTTGTAGACACAGAAAAGAAGTCAAATAAGGATCAGCTAAATTCGAGTTTGCATGATTTCATCGATAAACCTTTATTATTATTCTAGGAATGTTTAGTGAATATTGCTAATTTTTTAGACACTACACCCTTCTCTAAATATTCCTTGGTTAAAGTTTGAAAAGATCTTCCGTATATGCGATTTCCTTAAGTTCTGATGGGCAGTGATTTTGAAGCCTAGAGGGCTTTTGGATAGACTTCCGGTGACTGGCTAGTTACTATTATATTTGAATACCCCAGAAAAGGATGAAAGCTAGTTTAGAGTAAATCACATCTAGTTTTCATGGTTATTAGTATTTGGTGATAATGAATTCAAATAAGGTCTTGATTATCCAAAAATGATGGCGAGAACATTGAGATAGCTAATTGAAATGAGAATATCATTCTCCCTACTGAATCAAAGCCTTGTTCTGGTGACAAATTTTCCTATTATAGGTTCTGATCAAGGTGGTGGTAGGAGATAGAATTCGTTGCAGACTATACTTTTCAGGGTCTCTAAAATGACTTAGGAACTGGAAAAACATAAGGCACATAGAGCAATTATATATAGATACATCAAATGTGTCCTTTTTTTTTCGTTTCTGTCAAATGTATCTTTTAACAATGGGGTAGTTTTTGAAATTCCTGATAATTAGCTTCTAGTAAATATGAAAAGGTTTATGAAATCTATAAAAAATAAAATAGGTGATTCTCTTAGATGATTCTTTACTCATATGGCTTTCTAATAGAAAACATAATCGAGTCTAAGAAAAGAATTTTACTTATATTATAAATGCTAGCAAAATAGTTTCCACAAAAGTAGAGAGATGAAACATTTTTCTCCTAATAAGGAGGTTTGAAATAATAAAAACTAAAAATTGTTATTGAAAGCTCTATAATGCTTCATGATGAAGTTAGAACAGTTTCATCAGAATCCATCAAATTCTGATGGATTGTCCCATTTATGGATGTATTTAAGATCTTTCCATTCTTTTTTTTTTTTTTTTTTTTTGAGACGGAGTTTCACTCTTGTTACCCAGGCTGGAGTGCAATGGCGCAATCCCGGCTCACCGCAACCTCCGCCTCCTGGGTTCAAGCAATTCTCCTGCCTCAGCCTCCTGAGTAGCTGGGATTACAGGCATGTGCCACCATGCCCAGCTAATTTTTTTGTATCTTTAGTAGAGACGGGGTTTCACCATGTTGACCAGGATGGTCTCGATCTCTTGACCTCGTGATCCACCCGCCTCAGCCTCCCAAAGTGCTGGGATTACAGGCTTGAGCCACCGCGCCCGGCAAGATCTTTCCATTCTTGAATACATACATATACACCAATACAAGTGACATTTCACTTGTGAGGGTTTTGTTTTTCCCTGCCTTTTTAAATTTTTTGTTTTGAGATGGAGTCTGCCTCTGAAAGTGCTGGGATTACAGGCATGAGCCACTGTGGCCAGCCCTTCTTGCCTCTTAATATGAAATGACATTTTACAAATTATTGTAGCCTGGGGATCCTTAAGGAATCAGGCTGGTCCTGTCTAGGCGAAACTTTATTTATTTAAGAATTTAAGAAATTTATTTATTTAAGAAAATTTATTTAAGAAACTTTATTTAATAATTCTCCCTTTTTATTTAAGGCAAATGCTCTGTTTTGTCCACTATGATGCTTTCCTTTTGGGCAAAAAGAACTTAATAATGCTATTTGCCTCCAGTTGCACATAATGGAGTTTGCTAACAAATAATGACTGACCCTTTTGCACTTACGTAATATAAAACAGTATATGTTGTAAAAATCAATTATTTTAACCTTATCTTTAGCTTTTTCTGTAGTACTGCTTTGTCTCCAAAATACTGTTGACATTTATTTAAACAATGGTAGTGAAATAAGATTAACATTTTTTGAGAATTTCATGATAACTCCAGTGAACATTAAAACCTTGCAGAGTCAAGTTTATAGATACTACCTTTACACACAAGCATTGTTTCAATAACTATTTTGTTGAAGGAGTTTGGTTAAGAAAGCTAAGTACATTTTTTTTTCATATAAGATTCTTTCTAATTTTTCTTTTGATATATCTACCTTCTTGTCCCATCATAATTAAAGAAAAAAATTACCGAATGTCTGCATCTTCCATTCTTGCCCCTAGGGGCCATTAGTTGAAGCATCCGATTCTGACATCTTATAGACCAGGGGTTGGCAAACTTTGTGAGGTGCTAATGAGTAACTATTTTAGGTTTTATGGGCCATGTGGTCTCTGTCACATATTATTCTTTGTTTTATTTTTGGTTTGGTTGTGTTTATAAGCCTTTCTTTCTTTTCTTTTCTTTTCTTTTCTTTTCTTTTCTTTTCTTTTCTTCTTTTCTTTTCTTTCTTTTCTTTTCTTTTCTTTTCTTTTCTTTTTTTTGTTTTTTGAGACAGCGTTTCACTCTTGTTGCCCAGGCTGGAGTGCAATGGCGTGATCTCAGCTCCACTTCAACCTCTGCCTCCTAGGTTCAAGAGATTCTTCTGCCTCAGCCTCCTGAGTAGCTGGGATTACAGGCATGCACTACCATGCCCGGCTAATTTTGTATTTTTAGTAGAGATGGGGTTTCTCTGTATTGGTCAGGCTGGTCTTGAACTCCTGACCTCAGGTGATCTACCCGCCTCGGTCTCCCAAAGGGCTGGGATTACAGGTGTGAGCCACTGTGCTCAGCCCACAAGCTGTTCTAAATGTAAAAATGATGCTTAGCTCAGAGGGATACCAAAACAGGAAGCCAGCCATTGTCAGCAGAAGTTTGCAACTCCTGTTATAGGCTTAAGGATGAATATATGGAGATTAGCATTATATTCTATGTCATATAACTAGTTAGTGAGACAGCTACCAGAACTCTAGATTTTTAAGCCAATCATTTTTCTCTGTTCTATCTATTATATACATTTTATCCTCTTCATCTGGTTGCCATTATGATTATTATATTACATTTTTGAGCCAGTATGAAACCTCTTTTTATTCTCTCTAAGCTTCAAATTTATATACTTTTTCAAATCTATATTTTTTTTTGCTGCTTGAATGGAAGGACAGTATAAATGTTTGTTTAAATAAAATGCTTAATCCAAGGAGTTGGCATGTTTAAATTGGAATGCAAGAGATGTGTTAAATCTCAGACTATTATAACAGAAGCTTTTGTTTTGTTTTGTTTTGTTTTGTTTGTTGTTGAAACTTTGGCTTTGTTTTAAGACTTTTCATGTGTATGTTTTATTACTTAATTTAAAAAACTGTTGTAACTGCTTTGGACTTTGATAGCATTGTTATAGATTGTTCTAGCTTTTTGTAATGTTCATATTTTAAGATGTATTTGAAATCATTACATTAAGCATTCTTTGTGCTTAACATTATTTTATTTTTTAGGCCGCATGGGGATAAATTTCCATCATCCAGGAACAGATAATATTATGGCACTTAACAGTAAGTCTTCATATGAAATATTCTATAAAATTAGCAGTCAAGTTTGTAGCATGTTGTTTCTACATTCTCGATTGTTTGTTACATTTTAACCTTCTGCTGAATGCAGTATAGACCATTATTCTATACTAGTGGTTCTTAAAGTGTGGTCCCTGGACCAGCAGCATCAGCATTGATTGGGAGCGTATTAACACCTCAGGCCCCATGACAGGGCTATTGAATCAGAAACTTAAGGATGAGGCCCAGAGGTCTGTGTTTGAAGAGGTCTGTGTGTGATTGTGATTCAGGCTAAAGTTTGAAAATTGCTACTTCAAACCAGGGTTGGCAAACTATAGCTCTGCAAGCTAAATCTGTTTTTGTAATGAAGTTTTATTGGAATATAGCCACACCGATTCGTTTATGGATTGACTATGACTACTTTTGTGCTACAAAGGCAGAGCCCACAAAGCCCAAACTATCCACCATCTGACCCTTTACAGAAAACGTTTGCCAACTCCTGCTCTATACCATTGGATTGGAGGAATGAAGGAGGTAGGTGAAGGGAGAGAGGAAGTGGGGTAGAGAATGTACTATGAATGAATAAATCAACTTATTTATACATAACTCAGAATTTTTTCATTGTGGTATATAGCCAGGTATTTCAAGCTTGACATCCAGGGGTATGCCATTAATGGAATTTGCATTGTATATATGTCAGCAACTTTACAGGTTTGAAACAGTTTTTTTTTAGTATAATTGTTGGATCAGGTTCTAAAGCAGGAAAAATTTATTGACCAGAAGGTCATTACATTAATTAACACCAGAAGAAATATCTGGCTGGCATCAGCTCTCCTTCCTAGTGTCAATGGATCAGATAGCTTTGCTGAAGTACAGTCTCTAAATGGAAATTGTTCATTTTCAAAAGGACCTATATAAGCCATTGGATCTTTTAAGTTTAACTTTTAAGTTTTCTTCTCTAGTAAATGAGTGATATCAGATTGTCCCTTCTCATCCTCCCAGATATACAAGCTGACTCTCAATACACATGGCAGATATACTGGGTAAATCTAAAGTTGTGTACAATTTTATTTCTTTCCTTCTTGCTTGAGTAGTTATGTTGATTGTCATTGGAATCCTTTAGAACAGGTTTTATGTAATCTCTAAAATATATATTTCACATCTTGATTCTGACATGGAACCAGTGAGTACTGCTGAGAACCTCTGGCAGTGCTTGATGATGCAGATCCTAAGCCTTTCCATACATATTTTTTTCTAGATTGCTAGTTTCCCTTCCTTTGCGGGAGTGGGAGGGCAGGGGTCTTACGGACAATAAAAATTCCAAAATATCTACCTCTGATTTTCTAACTTCTAAATGAAAGGTCACCTTAAATTTAGATTATGCTTCTTTAGTTAGAGTCACAGAGGGAGCACACACACACAAAAATAGGTTATGCTGCCTCTAGTTATTTTTCTAGTGGGATGGGAATTAATAAACATGCTTAACTTGCTGAACTTGAGCAGTAATTAATTGTGAAAAGACTTCAGTTAGATTATAAGATTTAAAGTTGAATGCAAAAGAAAAGAGCAGTATGGTAATGTGTCTTCCAAAGGAATGAGTGTTTATCTCAAAAAAGACCTAATTGACATGATGTGAATCCTCTTCTGCAAGAGGGAGAGGTTATAATATGCAATTTTCTGTGGAAAAAAATTGAGCTAAAAGACATTTTTCTTTTTAAAACTTTTTATTCTCTTTGGTTTTTCTTTAATTCTCTGCTTTTAAATAAAAGATTTCATTTATGCTCTTTCCATTTTGTCCATGTTGTGCAGATCCCACTTTTAGCTTCAATTTCTCCAATTCTTGAGAGAAAGGGACTCATTAGGTGATCTTAATGATTGTTCTGAGCATGAACATACTGTTACTCTGTAATTTTTTTAAGTGCCAAAGGGTCATTTTGCTGATATCTATAACAAATGTTGATGAGTTACACATAGTTGCAACAGATATCAGAGTGCATCAGTCTTTCAATGTCTCTGTGGTTGCTGCCCAAGGTCAAAGAACCTTGTCTTCTCAAAATAAACCATACAAACAACCAGAGTTTGACGTTTACATTACCTACTGTCAGTTTTCTTTCAAAGTTGACTCCAGCTTGAGATAATCAGAACAAAAATGGGTACTTGTGGGACCTACAGGCTTTGACAAATTTGCTGGGATAAATCTTTTTTTCACTTTTGTATAGTTAATCCCAGCCCACCTGGTAACTTACATATGTAAGCATATGCACAAACACAAACACACCTATGTATTATTTTTGTCTTCCTTTTAAAAATATATATTTATTTTTTATATTTTGTGGAGATAAAGTCCTGCTATGTTACCCAGGCTGGTCTTGAACTCTGCCTCAAGTGAGCTACCCACCTTGACTTCCCAAAGGGCTGGGATTAGAGGCAAGAACCACCACACCTGGTCTTTCTTTTTATGCCTACCATTTGTTGGCCTAACACTTTTTGTCCTGTGACTGGTCTATCCTTCTTCCTTTCTCTTAGCTTTCATGTAGGAATAATTGAGATGGCTGGACACGGTGGCTCACGCCTATAATCCCAGCACTTTGAGAGGCCGAGGTGGGCAGATTGCTTGAGGTCAGGAGTTAGAGACAAGCCTGGTGAACATGGTGAAACCCCATCTCTACTAAAAATACAAATATTAGCTGTTGTGGTGGTATATGCCTGTGATCACAGCTACTCAGGAGGCTGAGGTAGGAGAATTGCTTGAACCCAGGAGGTGGAGGTTGCAGTGAGCCGAGATTATGCCACTGCACTCCAGCCTGTGTGACAGAGCGAGACTCCATCTTAAAAAAACAAAAAAAGGAATAATTGAGAAAGTTGAGAAGAGGTAACAAATCACTGAAACATTGTTAATTCAGAATTTCTAGCCGGGCGCGGTGGCTCAAGCCTGTAATCCCAGCACTTTGGGAGGCTGAGGCGGGTGGATCACGAGGTCAAGAGATCGAGACCATCCTGGTCAACGTGGTGAAACCCCGTCTCTACTAAAAAAAAAATACAAAAAATTAGCTGGGCATGGTGGCGTGTGCCTGTAGTCCCAGCTACTCAGGAGGCTGAGGCAGGAGAATTGCTTGAACCCAGGAGGCGGAGGTTGCGGTGAGCCGAGATCGCGCCATTGTACTCCAGCTCTGGGTAACAAGAGCGACACTCTGTCTCAAAAAAAAAAAAAAAAAAAAAAAAAAAAAGAATTTCTGATTATTGGAAGAGACTAGGTTACAGTTGAGCTGTATTTTCAGAAAAGAAGGGATTCGCTAAGAAAATTAAAGCAAATTGAGGCAGTTTAAATTTTTTTTCAAAAAGAATTGTGAGTCAGTTGTAGTTCGTTCGTTCTTACTGTTTTTTGCTATGTGAAATTTGTGCTTCCTGGGTCTCTATGGAAAGCTTCCATTCACTATGTTTTCCAAAAATCTTCCATCCTTTTTTTACTTTTTTGACCTCACCAAAACCTTTCTCCTAAAGATAAGATCTCAGTTCTCCTGACTTTATGGGAAAGGCAGATGTCATATCTTCTCAGTACTACTTTCCAGCTTGAATTCCCATTTTTTTGGTGCTCCTAGTACATGCCCTCCAGTTATACCTTCCTCTGAGAATCACTGCTCCTGATGTCATTTAGAAGACAAAAAATGTAGCTTGGAAGAGAAAGATAGGTTACTTCTATGGAAAACAAATAGGAGTTACCAGTAAACCCTCAGACATTTAGGGTGTGGAAAAATTGGCAAGGTTTGTGTAAAGCCAATGAGTCTACTGATTTTTCCTGTTCAAGACCATGAATCTATTAATAGTAAGAATTGGCAGGTCAGCCTTTGTGGAGGAACCTAAGAGGCACATTCCAAATTTAGGCCTTTCTCAAAATATTAGGTCCTCGAGTATTATAGAATATAGAAAGGGAGTTATGGGGAAGAAACTATAATCCATCAGTAAGACCTGCTACTTGTCCAGTATTTCCAAAATAGTTAATTCTGAAGCAATATGCCCCTTTTACTTAATCAGGTAATATATTTTTCCTAATGCTTTAATAATTCTGTTCATTATAATCCTTTTAAATGAAAAACACTTGGCATTTGCATAATATATTTTAATTTTCCCTACTGGAGAAGGAAAGCTGCTAAGAGTTACTCTAGCTACATATGTAGTAGTAGTTCTACTGACCATATTTTTCTAATACTAATAGTAGCTTGTGTTTTCTTTTTTACATTCTAGGTCAGGGGTGTTCAATCTTTTGGCTTCCCTGGGCCACATTGGAAGAAGATTGTCTTGGGCCACAAATAAAATACACTGACACTAATGATAGCTGATGAACTTAAAAAATCACACACAAAAAATCTCATAATATTTGAAGAAAGTTTACAAATTTGTGTTGGGCTGCATTCAAAGCCGTCCTGGGCTGCATGAAGCCTGTGGGATGCAGGTTCAACAAGTTTGTTCTAGGTGTAGAATTGGTTTAGCATTTGTGGACTTGTGTAGGATTGATGCCTGACTTGGTGACTTCTTCTATTATGTTGATCCTTAGAAAAGGATATTGGTGCCTCCATGATTCATCACATTAACCAAATTTATGGTCAAATTAATGTTCGAAGTCAGCATGCCTGGTCTTTACGCCATTTGACTTGTCAGTTCCTCTTTTTCCAAGTAGAAAATGGGCTTGGGAAAACAGATAAATATTGGAAAGTTGCTTAATAGGTACAAAAGTAGAAACTGGGGGAAGTGTTTCTTAAGGAATAGTATCATTCAGTTCTAGGAAGTTATCTTCAAAGCAGACTGGAAGGCATGTGAAACTTGAAGACGCAGCAATGAATTAGCAAAGCCAAAAGCATTGTCTGGAGTTAGGTAGATCTGATTCCCCCTTTACAAGCTATGTGGCCTTGGGACCACATTCTTAACTCCTCTTTGCCTCTGATTTATTTACCTGTAAAATGGAGTAGCAATCAGTAAAGTGGTTACACACACACACACACACACACACA